ACACTCGAGGATGAAGCACGCCGTTGGTAGATGCTTATTCAAGATGCACATCAAGGAATGAATCGGGCTCAATTTTTGGAGATCTTCTATGAGAAGTACTTCCCACAGTGTATTCGAGCCAGGAAGGTGTCAAAGTTTGAAAACTTGAAGCAAGGAAACAAAATCGTAACGGAGTATGAGGCACAGTTACTGGGTTTGCTCGCTTCTCACCGTATATGGTTGATACGGACTACAAAAAGGCAAGGAAATTTGAGGGAGGACTCCGAGACTCCATTCTTGAGAAGATTAATGTGTTCAAGGTATAGAAATACGTGGATATATTGGATAGGGCCATCATAGCGGAAGGTAACCAGGCCAACCGCAATCGGTACTCGGATTGGAAGGGAAAAAGGCAAGGTTCTAATATGCAAAAAGGGTCGGCATTCTCACAAAACAAGAAACATAATTTGGGAACTTCCAATGCTTCTGGTTCTACCCGTGCTTCAGCACCAACTTGCCCAGAGTGTGGAAAAAAGCATCGATGAATTTGCTACCGAGCAACCGAGGCTTGATTTAAGTGTGGAAAAACAAAACATATAATGAGAGATTGTCCTGTGTTTGGGCAACAAAAGGGGAATAGGCCAACTGCTAGTTCAGTTGGTTCCACTCTTGCAACAAAGACCCTGGCAAGGCCTACTACTTCTAGAGACAATGTTAGGCAAGGGAGAGTCTTTGCTCTTGTTCCGGGTGATGTTTAGAATTCATATGTTTTAGGTACACTTTCCATCAATGGCCAACCTGCTCATGTGCTACTTGATTCGGGTTCCACCCATTTCTTTGTTTCAAAAACATTTGCTTCTAATTTGAATAAATCTATGGAACCCTTGAATTATGTGTTGTGTCAGTCTCTCCCATCTGGGGACTATGTTATGTGCTTTTATTTATCTTGCATGTGAGCTTTTACTTGGAGATATTCCATTATGTGCTAATTTGATACCTCTTGATATGGTATACTTTGATATAATTTTGGGGATGGATTGGTTAGCTAAATAGCATGCAACCATTGATTGTGTGTCCAAGCAAGTTGTTTTCCGCCCACCAGATCAACATGAGTTTACTTTTGTGTTACATGGCGTAGCTCCTCCACCTTATCTAATCTCAATTATGAAAGCTTGTAAACTAGAAGGGTTGTAAGGGTTATTTGTGTAACATTTTGCATGTAGAGACAATCGATGTGGGTGTTGAAAATATTCCAATTGTTAGTGAGTTTTCAGATGTATTTCCCTAGGAATTACTAGGGAACTTGATAGACCGTGAAATTGAATTTGTCATTGATATTGTGCTGGGTATTGAACCGATTTCAAATGCTCCGTACAGATTGTCTCTGGCAGAAATGAAGGAATTGAAAATACAGTTGCAAGAATTACTTAACAAAGGGTTCATCCGACCGAGTATGTTGCCATGGGGCTCGCCAGTTTTGTTCGTGAAAAAGAAAGATGGGCCACTTCAGTTATGCATTGATTATAGGGAATTTAATAAGGTAACGGTGAAGAATAAATATCCTTTACTGCGGATTGATGATTTGTTTGACCAATTACCGGGGGCACAAGTATTTTCAAAATTTGACTTGAGATCCGGGTACCATCAGTTGAAAGTCAAAGAAGAGGATGTTGAGAAGACCGCCTTCCAAACTAGGTACGACCATTATGAATTTTTAGTCATGCCATTTGGGGTTACGAATGCACCAGTAGCTTTTATGGATTTAATGAATAAGATTTTCAAGCCATATTTGGATGGGTTTGTGGTGGTATTCATTGATGATATTATTATTTATTCAAAGAGTAGAGAGGAACACAAAAAGCACTTGAGACTAACTCTTCAAACATTTAGAGACAAGAAGTTATATGTTAAATAGAAGAAATGTGAATTTTGGTTGAATGAAGTTGTGTTTTTGGGGCATGTGATTAAATAGGATGGTGTGTCTGTTGATCTGCAAAAGATAGAAGCTATTGTGAATTAGCCTGCTCTTATTGATGTTATAGATGTGCGTAGTTTTATGGGTTTAGCAGGTTACTACCAACGATTTGTTAAAGATTTCTCCAAGATTGAGGTGCCACTCACCCAGTTGACTCAAAAAGGTGTACCATTCGAATGGACAAAATAGAAGGAGTCTGCCTTTCAAGAATTGAAGACAAGGCTCAGAACAGCACCAGTCCTTGCCTTATTGTCAGGTACAGAAGGGTTTGTTATTTGTAGTGATGCTTCTCATAAGGGATTGGGGTGTGTACTTATGTAGAATGGAAGGGTGATTTCGTATGCACCTTGACAATTGAAGCCGCATGAAAATAATTACCCTACGCATGATTTGGAATTAGTTGTAATGGTGTTTGCATTGAAAATATGGCGGCATTATCTTTATGGAGCAACATGTGAAGTCTACACCAACCACAAGAGCCTCAAGTATTTTTTACTCAAAAGGAGCTTAATATGTGACAAAGGCGGTGGTTAGAACTCATCACAGATTATGACTTGCAAATTCATTATCATCTTGGCAAAGCCAACACGATAGCGAATGCTCTTAGTAGAAAGTCAACAAGAAATTTAGCATGTTTGCTTATGGAGCGAAATGAACTATCACTTGACTTGGAAAGAATGGAAGTGGAAATTGTGTTACATGAACGGGATGGAATGTTAGCCGCAATGGTAGCATAATCGGCTATTTTTGAGCAAATTAAACAAAGGCAATTAGAGGATGAATTTCTCAAGAAAATACATGATGAGATGGAAACAAAGCCGAGACCAGGATTTTCTTTGGAAGCTCAAGTGTTGAAGTTCAAGGAAAGATTGTGTGTTCCTAATGTCCCCAAAATTAAAGGAATAAGAGTCTTGGAAGAAGCTCACAAGTGCAGATTTACTATGCATCTTGGAAATACCAAAACGTATCAAGATCTCAAGCAAGCTTTTTGGTGGCCCAATAAGAAGAGAGAAATCGCGGAGTTCATTTCAAGATGCCTTCAATGTCAGCAAGTAAAAGCGGAACACCAAAGACCGGCGGGGTTACTTCAACTTCTCCCTATTCCGAAATGGAAATGGGAGCACATAACTATGGATTTTATTGTGAACTTACCCTGAACACCTTGAGGTATGGATTCTATATGGGTTGTTGTGGATAGATTGACTAAGTCCGCTCACTTTTTGCCAATGAAGACTGTTTATAATGCCGATAGACTTGTTATTGTGTACATTGCTGAGATCATTCGATTTCATGATATTCCGGTTTCTATTGTGTCCGATAGAGATTCTAAGTTTGTGTCAAGATTTTAGCAAAGCTTACAGAAAGCATTGGGGACGAAATTGAGATTTAGCTCTACATTCCATCCACAAACTGATGGAAAATCTGAAAGAACTATGCAGACGTTAGAGGACATGCTCCGGATATATGTCTTGGATTTCCGTGAAAGTTGGGAAACTCATTTACCTTTGGCGAAATTTGTATATAACAACAGTCTCCACTCCAGTATCGGAATGGAACCATATGAAGCTTTGTATGGGAGCAAATGTTGGGCCCCGATTTGTTGGACTAAAGTTGGGGATAGATTGTTGATTGGGCTCAAAATTGTGTAAGTTACTACGAAAAAGATTCAGATCATCCAATAGAGATTGAAAATTGCTCAAAGCCAACGAAAGAGCTATGCGAATCAAAGAATGAGAGACTTAGGATTTGAAGTTGGGGATCACATTTTTGTCGAAGTCACCCTAATGAAAGGGCACACAAGGTTTGGGAAGAAAGGGAAATTGTCACCCCGGTACATAGGACCGTTTCAGATTATTGAAAGATTGGGTTCGGTTGCCTATCAGATTGCTTTACTACCAGGCATGAAGCAAGTGCACAATGTGTCCTACTTATCAATGTTGCGAGGCTACCTTCGGGACCCTTCTTGTGTTATTGACTATCAACAGATTACTCTAGATAACTAAATGGTTTATGAGAAAAAACCTAATCGGATCCTTGACCGGCAAGTTAAGCAACTAAGGAACAAGGCTATCCCAATGGTCAAAGTCGAATAAAGAGAACATCATGGAAACAAACCCACTTGGGAACGAGAAGAAGAAATGAGGCAAGGATATCCAGAATTGTTTTCAACTTGAGGTAAACAAGTTTGGAGGACCAAACTTCCTAAAGGGAGGGAAGACTGTGATAACCCAACCCGTACTATGCTTAATTACGCATGTGATTATGTGTTTGATATGAATTTGCAAGTTTAAGTATGTGAATTATGTGCATTTAAATAATATTTGTTGAATCTAGGAATATCTATTGCAATTACGACTTTGAACTGAAATTGAAAGCCTTAGAGGCGCGATAAACAAAAACCGACTTCATATATGTGATTAGCATGATTTTTAGAGCCTACGGTGGAATTTTAAAAAATTACGATTCGTAATGATTAAATCATGTTTTATGAGTTGAATCATATATGTGTTTAGCCTTGTGTTCTTCATATTTTTGGTTGAGAATGAGTTAGAGAGATAGGAAAAAGAAAGCCAAGGTTTTGAAAAAGATTTAAGGGGCTAACCCTAGATTGAAGCTAAGGTCGTGTGCTGGAGGAAACGCCACATGATCAAACGCACTGTGAGTAATAATATTTTAAAGATATGATCTCATAATCGATTACTTGAGCCATGAAAGGCGATTTGTACCGATATTATGTTTTGATCAAAACTTCATAAAAGTTATTTTGATCAGCAAAGAAAAGAAGACTTTATTGATGATTTCAACATAAAGAAGAGCATACATCAATAAAGACAAAACAGGGGAGAAAAGAAAGTCAAGCAGCTCATCCAAGTCCCAACAAGATTGGCATCAAGATGACCACTCACAACACAGCTAACTCTAGCCCAAGTTGGTGAGGCATCAACAAGAGAAGAATGAGAACCAGATGAAAACCAAAAAAAAAAAAAGATTACACCAGACCAAACAGCCAAATGATTAGTTATCCCCTACTAATGCACATTCTAATCTAATTGAGATTGTATACAAAGTCACATATAGGATACTGCCACTCCCAATATACTGTTCTGAGCCAAAGAGCCACTCTATATTTAACAAGTTCAGAGAGAATCTTTACATTAGCTTCTGCATTGTTGAATACACAGTCATTTCTTAGCTTCCATAGAGACCAAAGGGTTACAAGAGGGACACATCTCCAAATCACCTTCCCTTTCTTCTTAAACTTACCACCCTCCCACCACTGTAATAAGAAATCAACTGAGCCAGGCATGGCCCAATACAGACCCTACCATTCTAACAGGGACGACCATACCTTCCACACAAAATGGCAATGAAGGAGCACATGTAACACCGACACCTCATCATGCTTATAAAAGCAACACAAGGTAGATGTTCCTCCAGACAAGACCCCAATTGTCTGAAGGAACACAGAGGTCTTAACCTTATGCTTCCAAGCAAGCCAACCAAAAAATTGGACTTTAGGGGGTAAAACCTTATTCCAAAGCATTCTATTAGCACTCTGATGATTTCCAACACCACTTGAACAGAGCTTGTACATTGAAGCTACTGAAAAGAGACCTGATGATGTGGCTGTCCACTTTGGGTAATCAATGATCTCCAAACTAATTAAAGGGCTAGATGAGATAACAGAAACCAATATCAGCAAATCCGCTCTTTCCCATTCAAGCAACTCTCTTCTAAATGATAAATTCCACTCCCCTGAGATTGCTTTTAGATCAGCAAACAATCTAAGTGCTCCTTTCTTTTCCTTTAACAAGCTGAACAATCTAGGAAATTCAACTCTCAAACAGTAGCTGTCACACCACATATCCTCCCAAAATCTTACCCTACAACCATCCCCCACCTGCACTTTGAAATTATTAAGAAAGAACTCTAACAAAGAAGAGTAAAAAGTGGCCATTGAGGAAATATCTCTCCATAATTTAGATTGCCTCCAGCTTTCACCAGAATTTGACAACCAGTAGCACTTCTCAATGTTATATTTACTACAGATTACTTTCCTCGACAGGATTTTTGACTCACAAGCAAACCTCCACCACCACTTTAGTAACAAACAGGAATTAGCAACTCTAACCTTCCTAATGCCCAAATGCACAGTAAACCTCTACCACCACCTATTACAGCAGCACTCTAAGAGTTAGAAGATCCCTGGATCCCAAATGCACAGTAAACCTCCTAAATTACCATCTAAATCTACATACAAATAATCCATTTTGGATTTTGGCCATAGAGCTTTAACATCCAACTCAGAGCAACTTGATAACTTCGTCTCTTGGGAGAAGAACAATATCAATCTTCCTGACAACAATTAGTCTTCTAATCTTTCCTTTTTTCTCCCTTCGACCTAATCATTTACAATTCCAGGATAGTATCTTCATTAGTAAACAAAATATAACTCTACAACCCGCTCTGGACATATCTTAAATCACATCCTCTGACCCTTCACCATCCTTCCCATGTCCTTCAGTTCCATTTCAGAGATCTTCTTTTAAGGCTTTAACTTCTTTTCCTTCGTAATTAATCCCTAACAACCTCCCCATTTGAAGAGTAGCATGAGCTTCTTTGCAAGTTAAGCTATATTCCCCTAAACTGCAGCCATACAAAGACAAAGATGCTAAAGCTGCCACAACTGACCTAAAAATGACTCCCTTAGACCCTTTCTTACTAGAAGATAAACTTCATAAAAGTTATATGACATGTGCAATGTGGACCTAAGGTCATTTTGTTTATGCTATGATATGTTTGGGCCTAAGGTCGTTCTATGGGCTCGAGGCCGTTCTGTATAATATGTGGGCCCAAGGCCGTTTTGTATCATATGTGGGCCCGAGGCCATTCTGTATCATATGTGGGCCCGAGGCTGTTCTGTATCATATGTGGGCCCGAGGCCATTCTATGTAATATGTGGACCCCAGGATGTTCTGTACTTATATGGGCCTGAGGCCGTTCTGATATTAATGGACCTAAGGTCGTTCTGTTTATATGATGGGCCTAAGGCCATTCTATTTATATGATGGGCCCAAGGCCGTTCCGTATTATGATTATGAATATTGTGAGAGCCTTATGATCATCTATTTACACTGTTTTACTGTATTATTACTCATTGAGTTTTGCTCACCCAATATTATGTATGCATATATAGATGATCCGCAACATGGAGCCCACCTTTAGAGTTAGCTTCAGGAGTTATTTTTGTCAACCTATCGAGTTATGCCTCCGAGATGGAGTTTTGCCTTTGACTCCCATTATGCTTTGACCTTATTCTATTTTTGTTATTTGATCTTCGGATGTGTAATCAAGATGCATAAAATTTCCTATGATACTTATATTTTTGTATGGGCATGTAAACGATGTGAATGTGTTATATTTTGCTCATATTGGCATAGCTCAATGGATTTCTTCGTTGTTGTATACTTCAACTTATGGCTCCATTATTATAATTACTTTGTATGTTTGTATGAGGTTGGAGGTAATCAAGTGATTATTGGCCAGTTATGACCCAAACTTTTAGGGGCGGGTTTGGGTCATGACAATATGAGTCATGTGAGAAGCGTGTACAAGATATATATGTACATGATATCTTTTCCTTCAAACACTATTTTTTTTTAATCACATTAAGTCTTAGGTTGTATTTAGATTTAGAATTTGTAGAGAAAATAAAAGAAAAAGAAAAAGGAACCAACATATGTATTCTTATTTGTTCCTTGGTTAATCTTTGCTTGAGTTGTAGATGACAATAAATGGACAAGAGTTGGATGATGATAAATAATAGGTTGACAAGTAAAGAGTATCAAGAAGGAGTGAAGTCATTCACTGACTTTGCTATTGCAAATTTAGGCCTAGAGAATGAAATTAGGTGTCAGTGTGTCGATTGCATTAATGGCACAAAATATAGTAGACAAGTTGTGTGGATGGACTTGATTCGAAGAGAAATTGCATCTTCATATATAACTTGGGTGCACCACGGGGAACATGTTCCTGTGTCTCATCCTACTCTATCAAACGACCATTATGGAGGTAGTGGAGAAGGTATGCTAGACATCGATCATCCAATGATGAGTGAATTTCCTATTATGTTGGAAGAAATTTACATGAGTGGTCTTATGGATGATCATACCGACGAGAAACCTAATAGTTTGGAGAGGGAGGATTTGCAGAGATTCATTAGGTTATTCGAAGATGCTCAACACAAAGTTATATGTTCACATCGATCGGGCTTTCTTCCAACATAATAGTTTGGAGAGGGAGGATTTGCAGAAATTCATTAGGTTATTCGAAGATGCTCAACACAAAGTTATATGTTCACATCGATCGGGCTCTGAATGCAATGGCCTGAAAGTATGCCACTTCAGTAACTAATAAGTTAGGGCTTCAGATTAGGAGCTTGTGCCCTCTCAAGGATGTTTAAGTCTTGGCTGAATATTAATGAGACTAACGAAACTGCCATCATCCAAGCTGTTATTGTAATTGATAATATTTGTCCATTATCTGTATTTGTATTATGTATACTTGTGATAAGGACTTATATATTTAATAGCTGTAATTTTCACTTGTTATGCTTGTAGGACAAGTTTGATATTGGGAATGATTTTCACAATGACTCACAAGCTTAACAGATTGTGAACAAGAAGGCATATGTGTTGCACAAAGATTGGAGGTACAACTTGAAGCACGAATTCGAACTATTAAAGGAAGAGGGTGTTGATGACCTCTATGCTCATCCACCCCAAGGGGTGAGTTTAGATGATTGAAAGTATTTGATCGACGTGGCATGGCAAGATGCATCTCACCAAATAAAATAATAATACATTGTACATAGCCCTGTGCCAAATGTGATATGCCTTAATATTTAACAAAGATTTGTTTATGTAATTATTAATTTTAGAAACGGACAAAAGCTAGTAAGAGTAACAGGAGTCAGTTACTGTACAATCATACTAATGGATCTCACTCATTTCCTATCACAATGGCTACTATGGTGAGATTGATTTTTTTTTTTTTTAAAGTAAATCCATTTTTATTTTTATTTTTATTGGTTATGAATAATAGATTGTGATTAATTTTTTATTCTTATTTGAATCTAGCAGCTAGCTAAAAATAGGGACTTGGATTTTTCTAAGTTTTATGAGGACAGCCACACATCCAAGAAGATGAATGACTGGATCCATCCAAAATACGGTGAGTTGCATGTAAGTATGTAACAATGAAATAATTGTATTTAATATTACTTAGCACCCAAAAATATATATGTTATTAATCTTTTTTGGCTTCTTTATTTGCAATGATAGCAAGAGATGGTCAATCTACAAGCAGCTACCACCTAGTTGAGGACGCCATTGACACATGAGGAGCTTTCAAGGCAAGTGCCTGGAGAGAAAAAAAAGTACTTGCTTGGATTTGGGTTTGGCCCACAACCCTATACCATAGCTGCATCATGAGCACGTGATAAGGACATAGAGGCAATGAGAGCTGAGATGGAAGCACTTCGTGAGAAGTGACAAAGAGATCGTGACTAGTTGGTGAAAGAGCGAGAGGAGAGCGAGAGATATTATAATGAGATGTTGAAAGAGCGGGAGTAGACACAAAAAGCTCAAGAGGAGACAAATACAAAGGTTGATCATCTGACTAACGTGGCCGCCAAACTCACACAGCTCTTGGGGGTCTAAGCTGGTCATTCGACGTTTACTATTTGGTAAGAACGATTTTATTAATGTCATATATACTTTGTTAAAATATGTTAGCTTTAACAATGAATAGGACACGGTACATAAATAGGACACGTAGGTTGAAAGTTAGAGTCGAGAATGCCTTAAACTTGGTCGAAAAAAAGACGTTCAGGGGACGAAAATGCAAAACAGTCCCCCAACCATTGTTGTGATATAACAGGCAGCTTCCCTATGCCAAATATGACCTGTAGGCATAGCCGGTACGTCAATAGGATAAGTAGGTTAGGAGGTAAAGTCAAGAATGCCTTAAACTTAGTCGAAAAAAGGCATTTGGGGGGCGAAAATGCAAAACAACCACCCAACCACTGTTGTGATGTAACGGGAAGCTTCCTCGTACCAAATATGACATGTAGGGATAAATGGTACGTAAATACAACATGTAGGTTGGGAGTTAGAGTCACGAATGCCATAAACTTAGCCCAAAAAAAAGCGTTTGAGGGCCAAAATTCAAAATACCCCCCCCCAACCACTATTGGGATGTAACGAGTAGCATTCCCGTGCCAAATATGACATGTAGGGACAAATGGTACGTAAATAGGACACGTAGGTTGGGAGTTAGAGTCAAGAATGTGTTAAACTTAGTTGAAAAAAGACATTCAGAAGGTGAAAATGCAAAACGACCCCCTAACCACTATTGGGATATAACTGGTAGCTTTCCCATGCCAATTATGACCTATAGGGACATACGGTATGTAAATAGGACACACAGGTTGGCAGTTAGAGTCAAAAATTCCTTAAACTTAGTCAAAAAAAAGGTGTCCGGGAGGCAAAAATGTAAAACAACCCCTCAACCACTATTGTGATGTAACAAGCAACTTCTCCATAAAAAATATGACCTGTAGGGATAGATAGTACATAAATAGGACATGGAGGTTGGGAGTTAGAGTTGAAAATGCTTTAAAATTAATCGAAAAAAGGCATTCGGGGGTGAAAATGCAAAACAGCCCCTCAACCACTGTTGTGATGTAATGAGTAGCTTTCTCATGCCAAATATGACCTATAGGGACAGATAGTACATAAATAGGATACATAGGTTGGGAGTTAGAGTCGAGAACGCCTTAAACTTAATCGAAAAAAAGATGTTCAGAAGGTGAAAATGCAAAACAACCCCCCAACCACTTTTGTGATGTAACATACAGCTTCCCCATGCCAAATATGACCTATAAGAATAGACGGTATGTAAATAGGACATGTAGGTTTGGAGTTAGAGTCGAGAATGCCTTAAACTTAGTCGAAAAAAGACGTTCGGGAGACAAAAATGCAAAACAGCCCCCCAACCACTGTTTGGATGTAATAAGTAGCTTCCTTGTACCAAATATGACCTATAAGGATACACGGTACGTAAATAAGACACCTAGTCTGGGAGTTAGAGTCGAGAATGCCTTAAACTTAGTTGAAAAAAGGCATTCGAGGGGGCAAAAATGCAAAATAACCCCCCAACCACTGTTGTGATGTAACAGGTAGCTTTCAATGAAAAATATGACCTATTGGGACAAAGGGTACATACATAGGGCACGTAGGTTAGGAGTTAGAGTAAAAAATGCCTTAAACTTAGTTGAAAAAAGGCGTTCAAAGGGAAAAAATGCAGAACAACCCTCCAACCACTCTTGTGATGTAACGGGTAGCTTCCCCGTACGAAATATCATCTGTAAGGACAGATGGTACATAAATAGAATACGTAGGTTGGGAGTTAGAGTCAAGAATGCCTTAAACTTAGTCAAAAAAAAAAAGTATTTAGGGGCAAAAATTC